GTGTACCTCTGGTGCAAATTACTGACCTCTGTCATCATTTTAAGTGGGGGAACTTGCACAATCGGTGGCTGACTAAATACTTTTTTGCCCCACTGTAAAAGTGGCCTGTAGAAGAACAGTGTTTCATGAATTTCTGAAGGACTACGTGCATTTTGAAACATGCCAATTCCTGATTATGGCAATAAGTTTCACACATCAATCTATGGAGAGATAACGAGAGCTCTGTTGACCTGATTGATGGTGATCTCATCAGTGTTTCCACTCTTCTCTGACAGGAAAACCACGTCAACTTGGGGAGACTCCTGAAACTACAGTTCATAAAAAGCTCATACACTATTCATACCATTCAAATAAAAAGCATCCAGGCACACTGCTAACAACCTGAGAGAAGCGCACTCACCTCTGGGTCTTCCCGTTCTTGTTTGATGTTTTTCTTCTTTTTAGCAACAGGTTCAACTCCAGAGTCGCTCGTGCGTTGCACCTTAGCAGAGCTCTTTTTCTTTTTGCTTTTCTTCTTGTCACCAGCTTCGCCACTCTGCTCATCCCCCTGAACCTCCTGTTTGTCTTCTTCCTCTTCACATTTTGGCTTTTTTCTTTTCTTCTTCTTTGGCTCTTCTTCCTCTGCATTGGTAGACTCCACAGTAGCTATTTTACATTTACCCTTTTTTACCTTTTTCTTAAACTCTGTCGTTACTTCATTATCAGTAGCAACAATAACACAGTTTGTTGATTTCTCTTGCTTTTCACTTTTTCTAACTTTGTCTGATGCTGCTTTGCTCTTTTTGTTTTTGCCTTTAACCTCTGTTGTTTCTACTCCATTTTCTTCTTTAGTCTCAATTTCTTTCTTTTTCTTCTTTTTTATTTTTATGTCCTCGTGTTCATTTTCAGCTGTTTTAGCTTTCTTTATTGTTGCTCCTTCCACAGTTAAAGGGCATTTTTGTTTTTTCTTCTTTTCTTTTCTTTGCCCTTCGGTCGCCTCTGTGCTCATATCTAAAGCATGTTGCTTATCTTTCACTTTCTTGGGCAGACTGTCTTGTTCCACTTGCTTTTCTTCCTCCTCTTCTTTTACCATGTTTTCTCGTTTTATTTGTGTAGACTTATTCTTTACGTTCTTCTTCTGTTTCTTATCCACTTCCTGCTCTTTTACTAAAGTATCTGCAGTTTCTACATAAGCCTCGCCATCAGCCAACACCTTATTTTTCTTCTTCTTTTCTTTGATTTTCACCTCCGTCTCCTCTGTGCTCATATCTAAAACCTGTTTTTTCCCTTTCTTGACTTTTTTGGGCAGATTATCTTTTCCCACTTGCTCCTCTTCCTGTTCTTCTTTCACCATGTTTTCTTGTTTAATTTGTGTAGACTTATTTTTTCCTTTTGTCTTCTTCTCTTTCTTTTCCACTTCCTCCTCTTTTACTAAACTCTGTGTAATTTCTCCTAGACTCTCACCATCTGCCAGCAGCCTCTTCTTCTTCTTCTTTTTGGTGACATTTTGTCCATCAGTGACCTCAGAGTCATTGACATCATCCAGAGAATCTGTTTTCCTCTCCTTCTTTTTCTTATTTTCTTCCTTCTCACCATTTCCGTCCCAAGACCCGTCTTCGATCCCCACAGCATCAGCCATTTTGCCTTTCTTCTGTTCTTTTCTCACCTCTTTTAGGCTGAAATCATCAGCTTTTCCTTTTTTGTGTTTCTTCTCTTTCTTTATATTATTTTCCTCACTCTTCTCTTCCTCCATCTTCATTTTCATGATTTCTGTGTGCCTCTCCTCAGCTACAGGTCTCTTGCTTGACTGGTGAGAGAAAGTTCACTGTTACTTCACATTTCTATTCTGTGTTTGTGGAATAGTGAATGGCAGAGCAGTAAACACTAACCAAAGGTTTGGCTGGCTCTTTGGGTCGGGACTGCTGATCAATTTCTCTTTGAAGGGCCAGTCGCTTTGCCTGAAGAGAACCAATCAGAACTGGACATAAATATTTGTAATAAAAATGGACAACCCCACTGCAACACTGTTTTGTGTATTGGTTAGCAGGACACTTATTCCAATCTAAAAGTTTCATTGCAGATTTAAAATTCTGATCCAAATGTTTTTATTGTTCTGCTGCTACCTGACTATACATCTGATAAGAATATAGTAGATTAAGTAGTAAATAAGTATATTCTCCTCTTCGTCTGCAACAAATGTGGCATTATAAGTGTTGAAACAGACTGTTTAAGCTCAAAGTACAAATTTAGCAATGTTGGAATATAAGTCAAGCTGAGACCAAATTTCAAATGGAATACAGGACACAGCGAACAGTTAACTCAACATTGCGTTGGATTACTAATTCTAACGCTATAATTGTTAGATATGTGGCAGCTTATCGTCTCACAGCCTGACATGTGAAGTCTGACCTACAACCAATATTCAAGTCTGGATTACTTTGTCGTCTTGTAGCGTTAAGAAGTCAGAATAAGATATTCCGATTAGGTTGGATAATCAGTACCTGATCAATTGTGATTTCAATTGGCTTGTGACAGGACCTTTCAGAAACAAAAACTACGTCCTCATCGGAATCCGTCTGAAACATAAAAGGGAAATATCAGCATCCATTCAGACACATCTCTGAGCTAACCGGTCCATGGTCTCAAATATTTAGAAAAAAATGGAGTTAAAGCTTTACTAAAACACCAGTTATTGTGTTTGAATATGCACGTTAAAGGCAAACTAATATATATAATATATAACCAAACTAAGCGATTTGATTCAAGATAAGCTGACCAGGTTTATGCACAAAACGCTACAGGTAACTGGTCTCGTTAGCTTATTAGCCAACGGGAGCTTACAGTAAAAAAAAGTTAATCCGATCCAGAACTGAACAGTTTAATTAGTCAGACAATTACACTATTCTGGCACAAGCGCATCGGATATTGTAAAATACAAACTTCAAAAGCGATTTACTTACTTTGCACACTTTTACAATTCACGTGGGTAGCGTTTTACGTTCGCGACCCGGAAGTAGATTTTCCTCTTCCTGCTAGAGACGAGAAAGGAGTCCGTAGCAACGGAGGCGAGCGTACACGTAAGTGAGCTGTCAAACAGTTTGACAGTTGTTTAATTTTTAATTTTCACTGTTTTTGTTTGTGTTAACCATCAACATTAAAACGTTTAAAAAAATATTAACTAAAATATGCAAAATTTTCAATTGTAACCCAAGTAGGACCAAATTCAGAACTCATAATTACTTTGTCTTTATTTAAACAGACGTATGTAGTTAGATATATGATTTGCTTATGATAATGTTAAATACCCTCAAGTTATTATTGTCAGTGTCATTGAGGAAAAGTGACGAACCTATGCAAGTCAGACCATGAACAGTCAGCAACGCCTAACAGACGTCTCTTTGAAACATGTCTTGTGATTTGAGGCTGACTTTAAAGCATGATCTCACTTGAAACTTGCAAAATAAATAACAATGCTGTGTGTTTAAGGTTATTATGCATACTTTTCATAATGGGATTTCAGATAGGTTGTGTGTGCTGAATTTCTTGTACAGGTGGCAGATTTTATTTATGAAATTGCAAGGGGAGTGAGATGAGCCTAATGTGCCCCTGTCAAAGTTGTACTTCCCCCTTTTTGGGTGACATTCCAGTATTGACAATACACTTGTGACAGCAGATAATATCATTGAGCTTCAAATGCACTTTGTTCATGACACAAATAACAGCTCAATTATTCCAAGCCACTTACTTACCACAGGGGAAGGATGCATTTTACACCAGATGTCCTTCCTAATGTAACCCTCCCATTTATTCAGGCTTGTGATCCCTGAGGCTGGGTTTGTGTTGAAAAAACAGGTATCTTTCAAAGCAGGATCCACAACTTAAACACATAGTTTGAGGAGAAATTTTGGGAGTTTGGCAGTGAAATCCTTGTTATTTTAACAGTGAATTCACCCTGCTGACTTCTGTTACAACCAGGGATTCAAATGGTCTGAAATGATGTGGCACCTTAAGTTAATTAGTAATTTACATCTCTTTAACGGATGATAAAATCAAGCCACTTAATTTTTCATGTTTTGTGTCCAGCATTCTTACAAGCCTTTCTAAACATAGGCTCACCCCCCTGACATCCCCTTTAGTCTAAACAGGTCTCCGATGCCTTTATTAACATGTAACCCTCCCCCTGCAACCTCTTGTAGCCAGCCATTGCAGATCCAGTCATTAGCTTTATACTCTTCCATGTGCATGACAGTCATTTTGACCAAGCATACAGTTTTCTTTCACCCAGCCTTCATTCTGGAAATGGACGTTTAAGAAGCCGCATCCGAACCCAGCTCTGCTCCTAGTAGCTAGCTGCAATCCTCCTCCATCTCCATCATCCAGCAGGCCATGCTTTTGCAGGTCCCTGACGTTCTTACTACTGAAAGCTTACTTATTTTTAGAAGACTCCCACATGCAGTGGGGATTTTTGGCTATTTATGTGATATGACTTGGCTCGTGATTTAACATAACACAGAGAAGGGGGTGTGTGTGCCTTCATATCAGTAGTTTCAGTCCTACTAAATAACACTCAAAGCTAATGATATAGCTTAAGTATCATAAGCAGATTTGCATATATATATTAAGTTTTAAAATACACTCTAGATCAGGATTGTTAAGGAGAATGTGTGGACTAATATGTGGACCAATTTTAAGGATCGTCTTTTCAGAAAACATACATTTATATGCTTGAAGTGTTGCTTGGAAACCAGTTTGGTGTTAAAACAGTTGTACCATTTCTTTCTTTATTTGTGATTCAGTTACAGTGCACTGAACACTTGACGACGATACATCTGAACTAGATGTAGTAGTACCTGACTTTATAGTTATCCCAACAATAAAAACAACAACACCAGGGTATATTTAACAGAATAGGTGCACTGATGTATTAGTCACTTTGTGCAAATCACATTACAGACATTCATGTTATGCTGCCATAAAACAGTGACAGAGCTATCATTATAAGAGGATCTCAAAAAAGAAATACCAGTGCTTTTTCACATTTGGAACAACTACAGTACATGTTTAAAAATCAGTTATATAGGCTTAATACATTAAAAAAAAAATCCTACAATGATCATATTTTCATTGTACTATATTAGAACACACGGCTTTACACAAAAGTAAAATCACTCACAGTTTAGTTGTTTAGTGTTATAGTAAGAAGAAATGGTCTCAAGATTAGAGAAGAACATTATGAGACCTGCTTTTCAACCTCATTTTACTAACTTGTTCAGGATTGGATTCAGAATTCAGTCTCAAAGTTAACTGAGTCTTAATAGGTTAAATTCAACACAAACTTTTCAGCGTTGTAATTAAATGGGCTTGATTTACTAAACAGGACAAAATAGTGCGTGAGCACGATCCCCAAATAGCACTTACAGGTGTGGTTAGTTATTTAAACACACCCACTTTCAGTTCATTATAATATCAATTGCAAAAAATGTGATATGCTGTTTTTCAGTGTAAAATATCACGACTGGATCGGTCACGAAAATCTCTGAAATCCCACCTCTGACATGCAATCTTGTTACTGCAACGTCTTTGTTAATACTGATGTTACTTTTTTTTCACACCAAAACCCAATTTCTACTTGTGCAATACGTCAGCAAATCTGGCCCAAAATATCAAAGGTTTCCAGTGAAATTTACAGTTATGCCAAATCTTTTCATTTTGTTTCATGGAATTTAAAGTTTAACTGTAAAGTGGGAAGAAAAAACAAGAAAACCCTTTGGAATTATCAAAATAACCCTACATGTAAACTTACATTTGATATCACACATAGTGTTATCATTTTGGGCCACTTTTATTTCTGTTGCGCCTGGGACTCCACCAAGTGATCACCACCATTAAGCTTCAGTATAATGTAAGGATGGATGGTATTAAGCTGAAGTCTAGTAGAGGTTAGGTAAGAAGGTAATAATGAGAACAATAAGCCTAACCTGAAGTAAAATCACCATCTCGGTCTTGTCAACATACCATAAAGCCTGCTTTGTTGTCATTTTGACTGAAGTGGGACCATAATACACAAAATGAATGTCTTGCTGTAGTCAAAAAATGTGAAACAACCGATTAAGACCTTAAACTTATAGGGGAAGTCCTTACAAAGGTGGGAATCAAGGGAGCCTAGACTTTTTATACATTTTGACTTCTTTTTGCAACATCAAGGGCCCCTGCTGACCGTTAGAAAGAACCCATGTTTAAGGCACTTTGGCACTAGCTTTACTTATCATACTCGGAAGTTACAGCCGTCTTTTATATACATTTTATGGCTTTCTGGAATGAATTTATTAACCAGTGTACTACAGAATGATTTCAGTGAAATATAATCCTAAAATGAACCCAGGAGCATCGTTATATGACAGTTTAGGGAGGTATAAGATCCAAGGTTCATTATTTTTCCTTTGTCAATATATATTCACTATGTTTAACGAAGACTAATGACAGCTGTTTATTTCTTACCACCAATTAATGGATAAAAACCCAATAATAAGACTAATGACAGCTGTTTATTTCTTACCACCAATTAATGGATAAAAACCACCAATTAATGGATAAAAACCCAATAAAAAATGTTTAATTCCAAAGGGTTCACTTTTTCTGCCATTTTTAAGATTTTATCATACATCTAAAAAAAATGTTGATAATGCACAATAAACTCTGCAAGACAAAACAGTCTGACCACAGAAACTGTTACCTGTTTCTTTTAGGTTTACGCATACCTGGCCTTCCACAGCAACGGGATTTGCTTGATTGTCCAGAAATTGTTTTATTTTTAAATGTAAATTTTCTGACTTATTGGCTTAAAGGGGTGAGACTGTTTTGTCAATGATCTCTCCAATGCCAATTTATTAGAAACACAAAACAACTGGTCATTTTCTTCAGTATACAGTTATTAAAATTCTAGAAAACAAAACACTTACGTTTTGACAAAATACATTACCTTTAAACTGTGCTTTTACATGCATGTCCAGTAATGTCAAATATCACAATTCCCAGATGTAATCGGTGCTGATAAAGTGCAAAATCACAGCCACTAACAGTAAACCCTATTTACTAATACTGCAGGATTAGTGCTGCAGTATTAAATGGCTTTTTATCACAGGCTTATTAAAGATGAACCTTGTTTTAAAAAAAACAATCCACAAGCTGTAGAATTTTTATTCACCTTTTAAAATCTATTTGATAGTCCTCCACAGCCCTGCACGAGATCTGCTGAATACAAAGCCTTTATGAGTAAACACTGTGAATGTGGCAAACTGCCCAACAGTACTTATATTGGAAAGGCGAGAGATAGAGAGAAAATCACTATGCGAATCCTTTGGGACTTTCCAGGATGAAAAACAGAGGCTGTGCAAGCATTGTGGGTGTAAGCAGGTATTTTACATACCTATCCTAACAGCTTATTTGTAGTTGTAGCTTGAATGCAAACAAATAATAATAATAATAAAATGACATACAAAAGTGCATTTTTATGAAGTAAGCATGGTTGATAAACAAAAGTTAGAATGTTGCAGCACTGGTTTGGTGCTGCTCAGGCAAAAGAGTTTACCTCAACACATTCAAGTCTTCTTCTAAGCTCAACTCTGTCATGGTTTAACAACAGGTCATTCAATATGTCTCTTTTAATATAATATAATTTTTAAAAAACACTTTAAATATAACATTTAGTTGTGTTAATAGACTTCTTGTTCTTGTGTGTATGTATTATAATTCAGATTACATGTGTTCATCGAAAAATGCATCATCGAAAAATATCACTTTACTGAGAGATGTCGCTTTCTCTTCCCTCTCTTGTTCCTTTACATCCATCAAAAAAGCCTTCGGGAAAATGTAGGCAAAAATACCATACTAGTTTCTTTTTAAAATGCCAAATCTGCACATGTGTGGCAAAAAACACAAACACGGTAAACATAGCTATCTCTTATGAAGTCGCTTCTTTGTGATATGTACCGTCTTTAATACTTCTTCCCTCAAAAACGTGACTGAAGTGTGTCCTCTTCAACATTTGCCCCTTATATTACCATAACCGTCGTCCAGTGTAGTTAACTGGGGCTGTGGGCATCTATAAGACACGAACAAGTAGTGAGAAAGTGCAGCATTCTACTGTATCTAATCTACTGTACAGTCGTTTTATTCCAGAGTGATTTAGAGGCAAAAACGCAGTTTGTGTTTATGGCATACTTACTGTACCACCGTTCATCACTAGAGCCATCTCGGTAGGTTGGTAGACATGCCCTCTGAAGGCGATACCAGGACGCACATTTCCATGGCTGCCGTGGTATGTTCCGCTTCGGAGAGCTGGCACGCACACACACAAAAGATGCATTTGGTACTAAGAATAACCAATGTGTCATCGGATTATAATTATTACATAACCTTGAAAGTCCAAGCAACTGACTTTAAGTATAACTTTCATACTGATCATATACCTTTGTAAGGGATGTTGTGCAACTCTCCTGTGATCTTTATTTTGATGAATAAACTACAGCCATGTGAAAGAGAAACTTGTCAGAGGGCTCTGCATTGTGTCAGCCACTAAGTACACCCTTACTGCTTCCATAAGTATTGAAAGGGTAAGTGGCATCCGGTTGCTGCTAATCAAATGCACTTGATTTGTTGATCACTGGTTCGTGTGGCACCAACCACATGGGTTGGTGGTTTGTTGATCTGAAGCATTCAGGTGCCACAATCTTCCCAGCAAACATCCCAGTAAATTCACCCCAAGGTAAGGCCGTGTAGTGCTTAGAGGAAAAAATAACAAACAGCTGCATCTCAGACTCTACAACACTCAGTTAACTTGCTAAATATTTAAATTCTTGACAGCACAGTTAAAAAAGACAAGAAGTATGGCTTGTTTAGAAGGGTTGTCAGAATAATATCGTTTGGACAGACAAAATTAAAGTGAAGTTGTTTGGCCAAAATGCCTTTCGCCCAGTTGAAATGCTTTGGTGTGACCTTGTGAGAGGTGTGTGAGTTATTGTTGCCAAAAGTGGTTCAACCAGTAATTGAATCATGGGCTGTACTTAGTTTGTCACAGGACTGCATGGAGTCCATTGAAGATTTTCTTTTCCCCCCCACGTCACTAGTTTAAGTTATTCGTAATGCAGTGAGATGTAGCTGGGTGCCTTTCCATAACAAAATTGTGTACTGCTAATAGCAGTAAAATTGCTTACTGCTAATAGCAGTAAGCAATTTAAATGAATTCAGTTCTACATTTTGACTCATTTGAATTAATTGAACACTTGTTTTGTTCCCTTCTTTGTTCTGTTCTCTTTTCATGTCATGCATTTATTTCCCACACTTGTTTCTCAGTTGCTTCATGCCTACTGATTCTGTTTTTTTCCCTCTTTGTCCTTTCTGCCTCTGTTCTTTTCTACAGGCATCTCTGTTTCCTGCATGTTTCTGATTTGCAGTCACTTACAAACCTGCTCAGTACATGCTGTTGCTGTTGCTCAGTGCCCTTTGTTTCACTCTCCTTTTATAGATAGATTGAGGCAGATGACTGCTCATACTCAGTCTAGTGATGTCCAAGGTTTCTTCTTGTTAGCGTTCATATTGAGTCTCCTGCAAAAACTGAACACTTTAAATTTGCTGGCGTTCTGATTTGTATAAGTTCGTTTCACGCCGCACTATGTGACATGGATTTAATATACCTGGGCTGGAAATCAAGTTTGGTTCATGTAGACTCTGTGCTTAATGAAAACTGCTCTGTCATGAGTTATGACGCAGAGGTGCTTTGCTATTTGTTTCCACTACATTCCCTTAGTTGCTTTCACAAAGGCAGCTGTTGACATGCTGTATTTTTTTAAAAAAAGAACTGCTGGTGTTGAGTTGATTAGTGCGTCATTTCAGCTGCATTCCTGGTTGGCTGGTTATTTAATTGAAGTAGGTCACAGCTACCGTGAAATTGTGAGATAGTTATCCTTGATTTCTAACGCTGTCAGAATTTTGTCCCAGGCTATCTTTGGTTGCGAGACCATTACAACAGCCAACTTTAACATCTCTCACTGTGCAATGCAGGATCTCATGTTTTGAATTTTTTTAGTAAGTCAGACATGTTAGCAGCCCAACCTCAGTCTCTTACCAACTTTCTGAAGTCACTACAAGTACAGTTTTGTGTCTTGATGCATGCTCAGTCATCCAGGTAAGTAAATCTCCAAAAGTTGATTCTGTTCATCTGGACGTAGCGTTTTGTGGGAGAAACGCTTTGTCACTCATCCAAGTGACTTCTTCAGTCTCAGCTGACTGCAG